CACTTTGTGAGAACCAATGGAAAGGAGCCTGAGCTACTGGAACCTATTCCCTATGAATTCATGGCATGATGGGTGTTAAAAATAAGCTAATCTATGGTCTATTAAAAAAAAAAAAAAGTAGTAGTTCAAGTTGATAACCAGGGGCTGATTTCAAAGAATATGGCTTCCTCATCTGTAGAGAAAAAAACAAATGAAAAATCTTTATAGCGGTGATAGTTTATAAGATGGTTATATAAAGTTTCTACTAGCACAGTTCCTGGCTAGTAAAATTCAATACATATTAATTCTTTATTTATCAGCACATGAACAGATATATTATATAGGGTTCCATGCCAAATGAATTGTAGTTTCAGTCTTTAGGAAGCTGTGGCTTTCTAATATTTTCACAAGAATTAGGAATTTTCAGTGAATTATTCAGATCCTTTTTTTGTGTGTATGTTTGTTATTTATTTGGTTGCATACTTTTTGTCTTTAAAACTGTGTATATGTTGGGGCCAGCCCATGGTGCATTGTTAAGGCGGCCAGATCCCCATGACCTGTTGTGCAGATTGGGTCCCAGACCCAGCAACTTGAAAAACACTGCTGGTGTAAATGCATCCATGTCTGAAATCCCAAAAAGAGAAGAGGAGGAAGCAGTTGTAGCATAACCATCCCTGTGGGAGAGAGAATTCTTTCTTTCTTCCCCATCTGTCTCTGGCAAACTCACGTATCCTCTAGCAATTAATATGGCAAAACAAAACAAAAAACTCAGAATTTGACTCTTTGTTAGTGATTTTCTCATATGAATGGTTTCAAATATGCTATGTGGTAACAAGCCTCAAGACAACGATAACATCTAGAAAGGTTTCAGCTCTCTACAGTATAAGTAACAGAATTGTACCAGTTTGTAGACTCTAAACATGGGAGGTTTTCGTTTTCTGCCTAACCTTACTAGAGGGATCTAATTTCATAAAGGAAATTCAGTAACTTAAATCTCTGAAGTACTTAAGGTTTATTGTCTGCCAGTGGGGCACAGACTAATTTTCTTCTTATTCAAAGTCAGATATAATTATGAAGACAAATTATTTTCAGTAGAACCAAACCATTGACTGTTGCCCAGAGCCTCTGCTGGTAAGCTCCGTATAGTTCTTTTCTGACGGATAGCTGTACGAGTTGTGAGCAAAATGCCTCTTCTGTGATAATTTTGCTACTGCTGTTGGATTTGGTATATCCCAATCTAACTTCATTTAAATTGTGGCACTTCATTAACCTTATATTTTAGTGTCTCCCCTTTTAATTATGGAAAATCTCATAAAAGAGGGTCGGGGGTAAACCAACCACTTGTACCTAGCACCTAGTTTCAAAATGTGTCCAGTCCTGAGGCCATTTGTTTTTTGCATGCGTGTCTGCACATGCACTTGCACGCATGCACTTGTATGTGGTATGTTAGACAGCGTCTCTGTGTGTCATGATCCTTCTGCCTCAGCTTCCCAAGTAGCTAGGATTGCAGACGTGGGCCACCACTCTTACTTACTTTCAAACGTTTTCATCTTATGCCAGGAAGTGCGTGTGCTCATTCAAGAGTGAGAGAGCGAGCAGCCTCCCAGTGGGGCAGGGTCATGCCACAGTCGTCTCTCCTCCATTTTGCCGTGCCATCAGGATTTGCGGCATGCACACACATGCACCCAGCATGTTTCTCACGTTACTGGAACAAGATTCAGGCTGCACTTGGCCACATGGGATCCAACTCCCCATGCACAGGGCCTAATCGCTGCTCTTGGTACCAGTCCTTGGCTATTCATTTTTAAAACAATTTTGTAGCGTTTTGTTTGTTTGTTTGTTTGTTTATTTGTTTTTTTTAAATAGCTGGCTTACTATCTATCTATACATATATATATTTCAAGGTTATTTTTTTTAAGAATATTTATTTAATTCCATTTGTTATTATCAGTATTATTATTATTATTTATTTTGACCAGAGAGAGGGAGAAAGAAAGGGAAAGCAAGAAAGCAAGCTGCCAGGTGCAGGACTCGAATCATGGTCTGCCATGTGGGAATCCAGCACCTTTAACCCCCACATTACCTATCTGCCTTATCAGCTTTCTTTGCCTGTCTGACCAAACCTTAGATAACAGAATGTCAAACTCTTTCTCCAGATAAATGATAGTGGCTGAGTTTTTGTTTTTTCGTAAAATCTTCAAGATAGGTCATTTTTCTTTCAAAACTTTAAACCCCAAGCAAAAACTTTACTTTCTGCTTTCTTATTCCAGCTTAACTTACATGTGTAGAGCTGGGGCAATTCGGACAGATGACAACTGTATTGTATTAAAGGTAAGCTAATTAATTTGCTCTTAAAAGCATTAGTTATGTAAGCATTGAATATAGATATTGATACTTATATTTCTTTATGCACATTTGTCACTTTGATATCAATGCATGGCATAAAATAATATGAAAACATCATGCTTTCTTTTCAGTGGGATGCTGTGTAGTTTTAAAAAATTGATTCTAAGTATGTTTTGAAAGTCAAAATGAAATGATTTTTTTCTTTGTCTTAGCTTTTTCATTTTATGGTAATTAAGAGGATGTGAAAATTGTAAAAGTATCCAAAACTCAGATGAAATAGAAAACATTTTAATTCTTGGTTTTCATTATATTTTTAATTCTTGGTTTTCATTATATTTTGAGTACAGTTTTATAGGCAGTTTGCCAGTTCTGCAGATACTTTATGTCATTCAAATAGTTGATAATCAGAAGGCATAATGAGAGAAAATAGGTAATACATGAAAACAACGTTGTCAGCGTTGTCAGACTTCTGATGACGAAAATGGAAGCAGTAATTTCTGCTTATCTGTCCCACAGGATTATTTTTATGATAACTATATTAAATACATTAAGATGTCTTATCAGCTGTAAAGAAGAAAAAAGTGTACATACACTGATTATGTGTCATTTTATGAAGGTGAGATCGTATTGTCTTTGTTCAAAATGCGAATTAAGGATAGAAGGAAATTATGAAGACTAGTATTTACTTTAGTCATTGGTGAAAAGAGTCGATTAATTTAATGAGATCTGAGATCCCCCAAATAAACCAGTCTGCATAGCACACTAGGGCCTTCCATACAAGTGACCTGGTTTATTTTCTTCTCTAAACTTTCTCTTCTTCCTCATTAGTAAAACAAGTTAGCAGTATCTTCTTCATGTAGTCGTGAGTAGTAAATTCAATAATCCATCGATTTATGGTATTGGTAAATATTATTAATTAGCGATGTTAGTATAAAGAAAGAATATGACCTTCTGCTACTAAGTTGTAAAGCCTGAACAAGCCTAATAAAGAAACTAGTACTGAACAAGGACGTGCTAATGTCTGTGGTAAAAATGTAATAGGAACTTAGAACGAAGCACAGTTGACTGCTTCGAGGAGGGCTTCCTGTAATTATCACATGTCATTTTCTTTCTTTCTTTTTTTTTTTTTTTTTTTTTTTTTTTTTTTTGCTATAGGGCACGTGCACTCGCCAGAAAGACAGAGAGAAACAGAGACAGAAAGCGAGAACTCACCCCCCAGGAGGGATGACCACACTGCAATCCCTTCTTCTCCATTCTCCTCTTGGGATCTTAGGCACACACGCACACGCTCCCAATGTGAGTTTAAGCCACCAGGTCCAGGACTTGACTACATGGGTATCCAACAACATAGCCATTATTCCAACTGGTGGTCCCCCTCATATTTCAATTTCTACTTCTACATTATCCTTTATAGTGGATTCATCAGCACTGGAAATAACGCATAGGGTATTTTTTAATTGAGAACCTAATGTCAATAAATTACTAAGACCAGTGCCAGGATATTTGAAGGACCACAGAAGTAAAACTGGACAAAAATTAGTGAATACCACATTCATTCCGGCAAGTTCTGGGGAAAATCTAGCAGCTGTGATTGATGCATTTCACTTACATCGTAGGGCAGTGTGTGGAATCTGAGTAGTGGTAGGTCACCGACTTTCTAAAGCAGTATTTTCTTACCACAAGTATTAACCCCCAAACCAAAAAAGAAAAGTTGTCCTAACTGTGTTACTGACTGAGGAGAAGATAGCAAGTATTTTTAAGGCAAAGTTATTTTTGAGTAAACCGGAATCTCTCTGAGGTCAATAAATACATAGATCAGGCAGAGCCCACAGATATAATTGGACTAGAATTCTTCAATGGCTTGTACAGGCCATACAATAAAAATTAAGTCTTATTGATCACAAAAGCCTAATTAGATCTGTATTAATACAGTTTGATATATTAGAGTTTAGGATCAACAAGTAATTAATCTGCACTGAATTTTGATTTTGCATTTTAATAAAACCTTATATTCTCTGAAAGTCGATAAAGAAACTGCTTGATTACAAACATGACTCCCAGTAAAAACTGTTGAGTTGATTCAGTCACTGGATGCTCATCATCAAACCTTTGCCTTGCCAAAAAGCAAATAAAGACTCTCACTGCCTTTCAGACACTGCCTTGTCTGGTCCGAATGTGCAGTAAGGAGAGGTTGCTGGAGGAGAGAGTCGAAGGAGCCGAGACGCTGGCCTACCTGATTGAACCGGACGTCGAGCTGCAGAGAATCGCTAGCATAACGGACCACCTGATCGCCATGCTCGCCGACTACTTCAAGTACCCCAGCTCAGTGAGCGCCATCACGGACATTAAAAGGGTACGCTTCTCCTTTATAGCGGCTCAAGAGAGGGGTCCGTAAGACGTTTTCTTACTGCTTAAAACTTCGAACCAGTCGATAATTACAGCTCTAAGTCCTTTTAAAGAAAGAACTCTTATCTTTAATAATAACATAGATGATGCTGCTTTGTGAGTTCTTTTTTTTTTAATTCCAGTCTGTTTAATGTTTGTCAGTCATTTTTTTTTCACTAGTCGGATAAGCAGGAAAGAGAAAATCACGTCCCTAACTCCCACGTAAACGTACAAGCTAGTGATGTCTCTAAGCTGGGTATTGGCACTGCATCACAGCCATCTAATCCTACTGAAGGTCCGACTCATCTCTGTTATAGTCGCATCCTTTAAGTCGAGGGTGATCTTTGTGACAGGTGACTGAGTTCCCTCATTTTATTCTCTACTACAGCCTTTCTTTCTTTTTCTGCTTTTGTTTTGTTTTGTTTTGTTTTGCTACTTTTTTTCCATTTTCTCTTTCCTTTTTTCAAGTTTTTGCTGTGCTTTAACCTGTTAGTAGCAGCTAGTGTACCATTTCACCTCTATTTTGGGACCATCAGGGGCCAAATTGTGTGAGCATTTCCTGAGAATATAGATGCCTTTGAATGGGTAGAAGTACTTCTGACTTGCTGCTTCTCAGCCTGTTTCCCATATCCATTTCTCTAAGCATGACAGATCTTAAGAGAAAGTTTACTGAAGGAACTTGAGGTCCAGGGAGCATCATCTTTTAATTAGCGGTCAGTTCTATTTCATGAATGCGACATTTTTTTAATTTTCTTCTCTTTGATATTTGCTTCTTTTGCTGCTGCTGCTTTTTATTTATTTGTTTGTTTACTTATTTATTTATTGAGAGGGTTTCGCTATAAGGCGTGTGCGCTCGCCAGACAGACAGAGACAGACATAGAGACAGAAAGCGAGAAATCACCCCCGAGGGGGGATGGTCACGCCACAATCCCTTCTCCTCCATTCTCTTCTCGGGATCTTGGGCACGCACGCACACGCGCCCGGTGTGTTTTAAGCCACCGGGTCCGGGACGCAAACCGCGGTGGACAACGTGGGAGTCCAGCAACATAGCCATTACGCTAACTGCTGGTTCCCTATTTATTTATTTTTAAAATTTTGGCCAGAGGGCACATGTACTTGCCTGAGAGACACAGAGAAAGCAGGGTAAAATGGGAAGTCACGTGTTGGGGGATGGCCATACCGCAATCCCTTCTCCTCCATTTCTTTCCTGTCGGAGTTCTGGGTGTGCACGCACATGAGCCCAGCATGTTTTCAGAACAGTGTATCCGGGACTCAAACCATGTAGTCGGCCATGTGGGATCCAGTACCTTAACTACCAGCCATTGGCTGGCGTATCTTCTTTCTTCCTTTCTTTTTAAATAATTATTTAATTTTACTTATTATTACTATTATTATGTAATTTGACCAGAGAGAGAGAGAGACATCTAGAGAATGGGAAAGTGAGAAAGCAGGCCTTCAGGTCTGGGACTCTAACCATAGTTGGCCATGTGGGAGTCTAGTGCCTTAACCGCTATGCCACCTACCAGCCTCTATTTACTTTGTTATTTAAAGTTTATTTATGTTGGGACCAGCAGATGGCATAATGATTACATTTCTGGACTCCCATGTTGTCGACCATGGTTTGAGTCCGGGACATGGCAACTTAACTCACACTGGGCTCATGTGAATGTACCAAGAGGAGAGTGGAGGAGAGGGGATCGTGGTGTCACTATCCCCCCCCACAGAGGTTGATTTCTTGCTTTCTCTCTGTCTGTCCAGCGACCCCACCTGCCCTACAGCAAAAATCTCTAAAAAAAAAAAAAATGGTATTCATTTCCTCCACGAGCAGGAGAGAGAGGACTAGCCAGCACCCCCAGCAGTGTCTCAGTGCCACAGCCCACCCTTCCTCTCATCTCACCCAGCCCAGGATCACAGGCAGGTGTGTGCCGCATCTTCAGGGAAGGAAGTCTCTGGATACAAACCTGGAACTTGCCTCTGTCAGTCTCATAGAGTCACTTTTACTGCTGTACCACCATCCAGCCCCAGTATATTTATTTTTTAAAGAACTATTTATTTAATTATATTTATTATCATTATTTTTAACTTGACCAGAGAGAGACAGAGAGAGAAAAAGGGAAAGTGAGAAAGCAGGCCGCCAGGTCCAGGACTCAAACTGCAGTCGGCCATGTGGGAATCCAGCACCTCAATCACCACGCCACCAACTGGCCCCGGCCACAATATTTTTGATGCCAGTGGTCCCAGTTCTCTTGCTCTCCCTCATGCTTCAGAGTTCCAGAAAACCTCATCTGGTAGGCAACTGTTCACTTGCATTTAATGTTGAGAATAAACTACTAAGAGTATGGGATTTGTTTGTCTTAGGAAGGCCTAAAGGAGCCGGCGGTGATGTCTGCATTAGTAGTGTGCATTGCCCTCTGTGTTAACATTTCTGCCCTTCAGTAGTTTAGCTTTCCCAGGATAGGTGGTGGTTGCATCAAACCAGTGACCTTGTCTGTTTTACCTCGGGCCACTTGTTCACATGAACACAGCAGTTTCTTAGCAGTGCAATGACACATGAGCGAGCCCTCGCTGTGGCCTCAGGAACACCCTCCGGTGACCACCCAGCAAGGCAGATAGAGTGCTTCCGTGGGCATGAGAGGAAGGAAACGGTCATTCATTCTCATTACAATAAAACTACAGTGATGATAACTTTTATTTTTTTGGAGAGGTTTTTGCTGTAGGTTGTGGGTGCTCACCAGAAAGACAGAGAGAAAGCGAGAAATCACCCCCCAGGGGGGATGGTCATGCCACAGTCCCTTCTCCTCCATTCTCCTCTTGGGATCTTCGGCCCGCAAGCACATGTGCCCGGTGTGAGCTTTAAGCCACCCAGTCTGGGACTCAGACCACGGTAGACTACATGGGAGTCCAGTGACATAGCCATTGCTTTAACTGCTGGTCCCAGTAATGATAACATTTAATGATCTAATGCCAAACTTGAGAGTAATTGTCCTGTTATTTTTCATTTTGATGATGGATTGTCCTAAGGTTTCTGACCACAGAAGTGGAGACACCAAGCCCACAGAGAGGGAGAAGCCCCATGTTAATAAGTGTGTGATTTCCGTGGTATGTTAGTCAGCATTGTGTGCCATGACTATAATGTAGTCAAGACTTTAAGAATAGGTTAGAACTTGCCGAGATGTGGACAGTTTATTGGTAAGTTCCTCTCATAACCCGTCAGTGCTTACTTTGGGCAAAACATTTTTGGAAATTCTCTTATGGAATTGCCTTGGAAGCCACCCTGAATGAATTGTTTTGTAACTATATTTTTATAAAGTTTATTTGTTATGCTAAATGATAAGTACCTAACTGGATTTTTGTGTCTTCACATACCAAGATAGGTGACAACTAACTTGAAGCTCTCTTGGTTGGTAAAGCTGTCGCATTGTCTGGGTCTTCTAGGTAGTATGTCAGTCAGTCAGCTCGTAAGATGTTTCAGAAGAGGGTCTTGGGATGTTATGAATAACACAACTTAGGTCCTAAGTTAATTCCTTCGTTTGGATGAATGAGTTATGGCTTTTGGTTATAAAATTATTTTTATCACTGATATGCCTCATTCGTAGTTATCGAAAGTGTCCTGAGAAAATGCTTATATTTCGTTGCGTGGTAGTTTGGTAATAAATCGTCTGTATGGAAGAACTGATAACTCTGAAAGCCATTTGCACATGTTCGTAAGATCTTATTCATTTCCTCATACCAATAAATTAACAATTTTCTTTAAAAAAAAAAAAAAAGAAAGAGAGCCATACTCTAAGCATAAATCCCAGATAATTGTAATAGGTAACAGTGATTATCCTTGTTCATAAGGGGTTTTCACAGGGATTCCTGGTTTCTAAAGCCTGTTTAAATGGTGAAATAAGGCTGGCTTTGCTCTTCATGTCTGAAAGCTAGAGAAAACTTCTTGAACACAGTGTTGTGATCTCTCTCAAAACACCGTTGCCTGGCACCACAAAGGCCTGCGTGTGCCTTCGTTTTGAGGAGAGCGTTGGGAAGAGCCGTTGTAAGTGAGCATCATTGCACCAGAACTACCAGGACGCACAGCAGGTTTTCATGCAGCAGTGTCCAGTGTGTGGTGGTCACTTTTTTTGTTTTTTCTTTTTTTTTTAGAGATTTTTGTTATAGGGCGCATGCGCTCACCAGAAAGACAGAGAGAGACAGAGAGACAGAAAGTGAGAAATCATCCCCCAGGGGGGATGGTCATGCCGCAATCCCTTCTCCTCCATTCTCCTCTTGGGATCTTGGGCACACACACACACGCGGCTGGGGGGAGTTTAAGCCACTGACTCCAGGACTTGAACCGCTGTTGACTACGTGGGAGTCCAGCAATATGCCATTACGCCAGCTGCTGGTCCCGTGGTGGTCACTTTTTGACAGAAGTAGACTAGATGCCTTTTAGGTTATGCTGGAATAGACACAAGTGGTCTCAGTTATATCAGAGCAGAGCTCCAGAACAATGGGGAGTCAATGGTAGCACTAATACGTTAATAGTTGTTAACAATAGATATTTTTCAATTCTACACAACTAATTTTATTGAAAATCTAATTTGTGGACTGAATTGGAGCATTCGTTTCCCTTTGCCCATAGCTTGATCATGACTTAAAACACGCTCATGAACTCCGCCAGGCTGCATTCAAGCTCTATGCTTCTCTTGGAGCAAATGATGAAGACATCCGGAAGAAGGTGAGTCTGGGAGAGGGGCGTCCCCCAGTCCTGACAGCCAGCAGGCAGGGAGTGACGTCAACCTGAAAGTCGTGGTGAAGAGCACTAACAGTGACTGTTTGAATATAATAAAGCAGAGTGACTAAAGGCATAATTGAAGAATGAATGGGACCCGGATTTGGGGGGTTGTTTGTTTTTAGAACATAGAGTGGCATGGCCGTGTGGAATGACAAATCACTGGTGTGCTTTTTTTGTGTCATTAATATGGATTATTATGTTGCACATTTTTGCATGTGTTCTGATAAAAACCAATTCTAGCACTGTGAAGCTTCAGACACCTTGAAAGACCTAACACTAGAATTGTAAATGTTATTTATGGAAATATCTTCCAATGCCCTGGAGAAATTCAAATCTCTATTGTATATTGTTCTCTGATATGTGGCTTAGTTTTATGTTTGATTTTTTTAATTTTATTTTGCTACTGTGCAAGTTTAATGTGAATAAAATCTTTGTGGAATGATGATTTTATGTTTAGTGAGTGGTCATCTGAATTTCCCAGCTCCCCCAAAATGTATCGCTGGTACAGCATCCTTCTTACCACAGCCTAGTCCAACACGGAACGCCTGTTCTTTACGTGAATGTTCCTAGGCAGGACGTGGAGTACAGTGATAAGTTCTGACCTGGTGCCCTTCACAAACCAAAGGCTGCAGTTTACCACTCAGAAACATATGTAACCTAGTTAATTCCACATGGGCTCTGACACCAGCACACGTGTTCTCTCCTAAGGAGCCAGAGCAGAAAGAGCAAAGTGGGCGTTGTTTACTGCACACGACAGTTCCCTAAATCTTCCCCTCGACACTGTACGGTATTTTAAGGAGCATTGTGAGAAGTCACAAAGTATGGGAGTTTATCATGATTTAGAGAGGTGCTTGAGGTCTCTAGAAGAAAATGGAGCAATTTTAAATTTGTTGAGAGAAATTGAAAAGGGCCCATCCTTGAAGAAATTGAAATAATAGCAATAAGATGAGATGTGTTGAGTAAGTTTAAAATCTGCAAAAAGCACAATAAGCTAAATGTTTTCCATGTATCTCAGTTTTGTTAAGAAGGTATTTTTGACCTGAAGTGTTTTTTAGTACATGCCGGTGGAAATCGCTTTTGACACCTCCAAGCTTTCGCTTGTAAATGTTACTTCAAGGCAGACATACCGGTAGTATGATACTCCCTTTGTCTAAACAGATTTATGGATGTTGATGCTAATATGTTTTGTCCTAAATATTTAGGTACATGGTGTATCACAAGGGAAGAGATTTTTATGGCAAATTATACATAAAAAACATCTTTTTAAAAATTGACATGGACTGTATAATTCAAATGCATAATGATTTGGTTTGGGACGGCTATTAGGGCCCATTGGGAACAGAAGTATCTTATCGTTCTTATAGCTTCAAAAGCCCTATCATGGACTGAAATGTAGATAGACAGATGGACCGTAATGGGGGAAATAGGATTTCCATGTGTACTTCTTTGTACTTTTTTGTTAATAAACTATTGTTTTGGAATTAATGACTTAATTTGTGATAACATGTTCTAGAAATACTTGCTACGTAACAGTCTAATTAGTAGTAAATTAACACCTGTATTCCTAATGTGTATCATTTCCTGATTTAGGCTAACTTCTGGTCATTTCTGTAGAAAGATGAAAAATAAAGAACAAGTTATAATTATTAACTTTAGTTTTTTTTGTGGTAAAGAAAAGATACTGTGACATTCTTATGTAATGGGGAATATGTAGTATTTCTAGGAAGCTATTTAATTTCTGGGAAATTAAACGTTTGGATAATTTACATAGTAACTGCTGAAGAGAGAAACTGTAAAATTGAAAATACAAAGTAATTCTGTAGTAAAACATGCTCCAAGACCAGTCGTAGGGCTGGGAAGTTCTTCTTTTCAGAGTAAGTAACTTTTCCTTGAATGCATTTATTTGTTTTTCTTTTTATGCCTAAATAATTATTTGGATAGATTTTCTTTGCTTTCTCCGTGGAATATTTATTACTCTTTTATACTTAATACCTTATGAACTTTGATTGTATTCGATTTTTGTATTGATTCTTAAAGCACAATGTTTATTATTGTTTTTCAAATGCAATATCTGCTTGGTAAGATAGAATTTCAGTTAACTGAGTTAACAAGTAGAGAATCTCTGAAAGACATTTCAAAAACTATAGCCGCCCTCTTCAGAAAAGGGGGAGTTTCTTATGTTCATTAAATTGAAAATGATAATTTAATTCAGTAAATACAGTAAATGCTATGTATCCCACTACTCTATTATGGCCAATAAAGAATAAGAAACCAAATGAAGAAAACAAAACAGGTAAAGACAGTGAGAGGCATGCACAGTAGCAAAAGACACCCACCTTCTCTGTTCATAGAATTGCTTTTCTCTATCTTTGTGCTTCTAAAAACTTCTAAAGGCCTGCTACATTTTCACTTTTGAGGCCTTCTCTTAGGGCTGGACAGTGCTAAAATGAAGGCCACACCTGTAGATCACCCCTGCCTCAGAGCAGTGTCAATGTAGTCCCATTAAAAGAACCAACTGAGCAGTGGTACCTAGAACCTAACAGGCACTCAGTAGGTGTTTGTTGAATAAACATAAAAATGAAAATGCAAAAATTATACACAGAGTGATATTTCCTTTAACATATCTGGATCTTTATGTGAAAATCATTTTGACACCTCTAAATATCTATCTTAATGTATCTTTCTAGGCAAAGTTGGTATTCTAGTTTGTAGCTTTGCATTCTTTATCACTCCGTGGCATACTTGCAAACTTCCTAATTTCTCATGGTGTCATGACAGCTAGAGTGACGAGGATGGTGCTGGTGGACAGAGGTCTGCTGGTGACAATGGAAAGCATTATCATGGACTGAGACGTGAAGAGGGAGAAGCCCAGGAAGAGATGGAGGGCCACAGCTGTGCCCAGCAATGTTGAGCTTAGCATTCAGATTACCCGTGATGATTGACTCTGACTCTAAATGAATCTTGGTTAGAGAAAGTAAAGGTACAGGCAGGAGAGAGGGGCAGGAGAAGGGCCCAGAACGCACTGGCAGTGACTGCCCTGACACAGCAGTGCTAAGTAAGAATTAGGTCGAGTCTCAGCCAGGTGGAAAGCCTACTCTTTTATAGTAGCTTTTACTACCTATGAATGCAGAAGTCTAGTTAGTAGGTAGCGAGAAGGAAAGAAGCCAATGTCACGCATTGACAGATAGGTAGATTAACAGACTTTTCACTACTGGCACCCCCAGTCAGTGGTGAAGCCATGCCGAGACAGCAGTGGAAAACAACCTGGTTTTCAGACCAGTTCTTTCATAACAAAGAATTGCTTTTATGAAGGCCATTATGTATTGAGTTGTAGTAAAGTCGTGACACATTTTGCATAGAAAAATACGTCATGACTTTTCCGAGGACCCAATACTGGATTGGTACCTATTGATCATCAGGCTGGAAGTTAAAGAAGGATTCCCTTTACTCTTGAAGGAACTAGCGTACTTTTTCAGAACTATTAGGAAGTATAAATAGAAGAAAATTAGAAATAGTAAAATAAAAATTGAAATGAAAAAAGTAATACATTAACCAGGATGCTTTTATTTCTGATAAAAATAAACACATTGTAAATGTTAAGTGAAGGACGTATTGTAGTCTTTGCTCATCTGGGGCATCTGACCAGTTGGGCCTTTGAGAAGACTTTCTTCTTAATTTGAATACTTGTATTTAGCCGACGATCCCTTTTAAGAAACTAGAATGTAAGCTCCATGAGAGCAGGGGTTTGTTGTTTTGTTCATTCCTGTATTCCTAGCATCTACAAAATTGTCTGTGCATAGTTGACAATAAATATTTGAAGGATGGATGAATGAAAAAAGAAAAAAGAATAACCAGCTGAATGAGCCATATTGTAAAATTGCATTATTAAGTATGCATTATCAAATGATAATATGGCCCTGTCTGTACTCTTAAACTTTCCTAACCTTACTGTGACTCTATGTCCATGTAAAGAGAGGAGTTTGTAAATGGGAGAAATACGCATTATTCATAGAGGCAAGGGGTTCTGTACCTCCACAGTGTAGAGAAAATGCAGGAAATTTCATTTTTCAACAACAGGCCATCTCATGAGTATATCTTCCACCTGTTTGGATATAGATAAAGAAATCAGGTTTTGTGATAGAGTACTTGCTTCATTTTGAAGTAATTTTGACCATAATTTCTTAATTAGAAAATATGTAGGGGCTTTTGTTTGTTTCTAAATGTGTGATTTTTTTAAAAAAAATTATAGTATTCACAGGTATGAGTCCAAAACAGATTTTCTAAGGATAAAAGTATAATTCGGTTTATAGAAATAACTGGACTCCAGGAATCAATCTATACTGTGAAGTGGTAGATACCTGTATAAAATATCTTCTTCGTTAATGAATGTCTGGTTTTAAAAGGTTGGTAATGTAATTCAATTCTACTTAGACTGATTGAAAGAATGATTTGGAACCAATTAAAATGGACATCTATGGGGCTATCTTTGAATCAGTTTGGAGTTTAATAGACTAAATTTGGGGTCATTTTTAATATTTTCCAAATGCTTTTCATTTTACATTTTGAAGACTTAAAAACATGAATCTTAAGTTCTTGTTCCTTGAAGGGGGGAAAGTCATCAAATACAGTGACTTATGTGACATATAAAGAAAGAGCCAAGGGTGGGTGTTTTTCCTTTTTAAACCGGACTTTTTTATTTTTTTGAGAAGTATAGATAGACAGAGGAAATTAAGAAAGAATGAGAATTTATCTTATTTCTTCTTCCTAGAAGAGGAAGTTATTTCTGCAGAGTCATTGTAAAGATAAAATGTATCTAAGACAGCACAGCTCCTGCCATGTAGGGAGTACTCAGTGAATTAAAGCATTTACTAGACTATTTTAAATTACTTCAGGGAAGACTAAATATAAATATATATTTTAAAGAGTATTAGAAAAAAAGGTGA